ATTTATCTTATTTTGGTTTTAAACAATGATATAATAGACGGCTTACTTTCACTGATCACTCAACTGTAAGACAATTGATGTCTTATGCCAATCAAAGTTACCCAATGAGCCAATGAAACAAATTCTGCCCATTTTTTACAATCATTTTCATCGTATCGATAAAGCAATAGATATGCAACAGTCTCACAATGGTTTGCATTAAAATGAACCATGATACCTACAAATCAAAATCATTTTCTAGAATGCATTTCGATTTGATCCCAAATATAAATATTCTTATTTTAAGAAAAGATGAACAAGATCATTTAAAAAGCTTTACTAATTGTAACATTTTAATAACATAATGATAAATTATTATTCAATTAACTAGATAACCTAGCTTGATCATTTCAAGTTCATTATAACAATATATTAATTATTCTAGTGCACATAAATTAGAATTATCATTATATTGTGAATATTGACTCAACAAAGTAATTTAATCTACTTATAATGTATCATGGTAATTTGAAATTACTACTATTATAATAAGTTATTTTAAGATATACAAATTAAAGAATTGGTAACTACAGAATAACTTAAATTCTTTGTATAACTAAATAAATAGATTATTTGGCAACATTTGTTCAAAAAGTTAATTGCGATATAAATTCAACAAATACTGATAATAAATGAAAAATATATAAATTGTTATGAATTAAACTCGTGTATAAACTTTATAAAAGTTTTCTATAATCAAACAGTTAAATTTAAATTACAGTAAGTTTTATACAGTATTATAGTTTACCGCTATTTCAACATTTCATGGCTAGAGATCGCAAGCGTTTCTTAAGGAAATTATTTTAGATTTGTATTAAATTAAATTTATTTTATCGACGAAATATTCATGAAATATATTAAATTCAATAGAAATATAAAAATGGTGACAAATTATAAAAATATTTATAAATGCAAATAAATAATGAATGAATTTCGGACACACGGGTACTACAGTATACCGTAAGCCCAATACAGTATGTTTGCTGTCAGACTGAGAGCTCTACTCAATGAGACCTCTATTCGTTGGCCAAAGTGAGTGCATTGATGAATAGGCGTACGATTGTTGCCATTGACTGAATAACTGGCAAACAGTGGTCTACTCTACCATTGATTGACTGCTTTCCGTTAATTGCAATTCAAATCAATAGTTGTCTCTTGAGTTGATGTCATCTGAGTTTATGTGGTTTACTATCATTCAGTGGTAAGGCTTGGATTCAATTCAATGAAATGAAATGAAATGTGTGTCAATTGAATATATCACTGAAGCACCAGTGAATGGCTGATCTCCCTGTCCTGGTATACCTGCGCTCACTCTATCATCACTCGACTGATCCACACGCAGATTAACAGATAATTGATTGGTTCACGTGTTTAGCTCTTCACATGTATTCAATTGAACCAATCAGTGATAGTATAGTGTCTTAGATATGGCTTTAGTTAGACTATAGTAGAGGTGAGGAGTTATGCGACAATGAATGGCTTGAATGAAGTCTTAAGCAATGGATCAAATGGATGAGCAAATGATAGATTGGAGGGAAGGGCTGTGTTTAAGACATGAGACTAACTAAAGATAACTTATAATGAAGTGTTGGACTAATTCGTGAGGGATTGGATCTGTTTTCTTATTTTCTAGATTTGATGGTTAGATGTGATATCTTGCGGAAAGAGATGTCAATAATAATCCGTTTGCAAAACCTTCCTCTGGAGGCGAACTCACTGGACATCCGGCGCTTCTTCCACGGCCTGCAGATCCCGGACGGAGGGGTGCATATCGTGGGCGGAGAGAATGGCGACGCATTCATTGGGTTCGCGTCTGATGAGGACGCCCGACAGGCCATGGAGAGGACGGGACACACCATTAAGGACTGTCGCATCAAATTACTCCTCTCTTCCCGCAATGAAATGCAGAAAGTCATTGACTTAGCCCGCAATCAGACCCTCGGACTCAAACCCATTGACAATCTAAACAGTAGTTCCAATAACGCCGCCAATTATCTCAATCCTGGTCTCATGTCTCTCCAGAGTGTCTCACAAAATAATATCAAACCAAATATCACTTCCAATAGAAATAGCAGTCGAAGTCCTGACAGAAGAGCTCTGAGTTCGCGGTCTAATGAAAGAGAGGTTAGAATCAGGAATAGGAGTAGAAGTAGAAGTCCTATCCGTCAGGACAGGGATCGCACTCTCAATGGAAGTGCGGGCAATGGTCTCAATAGATTGGGTTCAATGCATTCGGGAGTTATGGGAGATATGGACTCAATCAGGAATTCTTCGCTCAACAACTCATACCCACCGCACGACTCGTCCGTTCGCTCCCGACTTAGCTATTCCGAGGCTGTCCTTCCCAATGGACTGCCAGACCGACGGCTTGATCAGTGGAACCCAAACGAAGGTTTTGACGGACAGAGAGGATTGCGACCTGAAATATCTGCTTCGGGAGACTTTGGCGATCGGGAACTCGAACTCTTAAGTGATAGCCATTTAGTGCGGAATCAAAGAGATATGAATGTGAACGACAGGCCACCCGTCTATACTGTAGAGCTTCGCAATTTGCCGTACAATGTAGTGGTTCGCGATATCATAGACTTCTTCAATGGTCTCTTTGTTCCCGAAGAGAACGTCAAGATCTTGATAGACGACAGGGGCTTCACGACTGGCGGCGCTCTAATCCGTTTCAATAACGAGCGCGACTTCGACGCCGCCCTTTCGATGAACAAACGGTTCCTCTCGAGCAACAAGATTGATGTCC